TGAATTCTTGGAGTAATAACTGGAATATTTGATGTAATTTCTATTAAATTTTGCAGAAATTGATGCGTCTATGATATTGAGCGACAGCACTTAACAAATGGCCAAAATTCTCATTCAGAGAATTAAGTTTTGCAAAATTTCCCCAATTGAAGAGCTCTGGGGGGGAGGAATTAAAAGATTTTTCATTTTATTAACAAAAGATCAGGTTTCCTATCAAGGCGAAAATGGACGAAAGATTGCATTTTTAGTCAAGAGTGAGTCATGTTCTTTCAGTATTGATATGTCAAGTCTGTCTGGAGCACGTCGCGTTGATGGGGCACTTAGCTGAACCCATTTTACGCCAGTGTTGGTGTGTTTAGTTGAACCATCTTTTTATCAGTACTTTGAATGGGCACAATTGTCAAGTATGTGTCATTTATTCTATCGATTTTCACTTACTAACACCGCTGGCGCTTATAGTTCTTGTCGTCGGCCCTATTTCGCTGGTTGACAATCTAATAAACAAAAGTGTGATAAATGACATTGAAGTGAATACAAAGTGGCCTTTTTACATAAACAGATGGCTGTGTTTTCAAGAAAATCATGCGTGGAGCTTATAAACAACACCACACCTTCTTGATTTAATAGCTTAACTTACTTCCCTTGGCTTGAACTTTGGTGTATTTCACGCTAGTAAAGGCTACAGAAGGGTCAAATGAAAGGTTATTGCAGAAATACTTCCATTTTCAAGAATATCTACTTTTATACCAAGTCAGCATACAATACCAAATTTATGCTCCATAACTAAAACGCATTCGATCATTAGAGCCATTAGTAAAAAATTACTTAGTGTGTCGTGTTGTTAAAATTGGTTAGACACTGGCACAAATATTTGATTGCAAATCAAATCAAATGCCAAGTGATAGACTTTTTTGCCGTACTAAGATACGTTATAGCCGACTGGCCAAGAATCGAAGCCGTTGCTGAGTTTAGAGTGGCACTCTACCACATAGCCGAATGGCCAAGAATCGAAGCCGTTGCTGAGTTTAGACTTTGGCCAAGAATCGAAGCCGTTGCTGAGTTTAGACTTCGTACCGGATACGATTACTTGCAAAAAATTTTCACATATTGGGAGTATATACTCAACCCACATGCCCTCTATGTAACCTACAGGAAAAAATGAAGAAGACCCACCTGATTCGGTGTCCAGCCTTAAAGACAAGGAAGGAAAGCCAGAGATACTGGGAAGCAAGAAGACAGCTAATGAACTGCTATATATATACCCTCCACCCATGGGGAAAGCTGAAGTCAAAGTTTAAGGGATAATGATGAATATCACAAAGCCTGCCATTTGAAATAAATAAATATTTGTGATTGGATGATCAGACTTAACAACTATTTAAAACTCGCATTCAAGTTATAACAATTAAGTCAATCGGTAATGAAGGAAAACAATACTCAAATCAAATAGTCAGCAGAAAGAGTTCTTAGAAGGAACGTTGAGCAGCTAAGGTGTCACGTATACTCTAAATATTCCACATTCTATGCCTTCTACCTTCCACTAATCTTCAATATGTCAAAATATTGAAGGAAGAATATAGTTGCAGCCATTAAAAACTGTCGACTGAAGTTTATTTGGTGAGATTAAGGAGATCGGACGAGAATGGAGAAGTCGTGGATCACGATGAATACTGTTAGTACAGCGGAAGGCAGAAGAAGTGGATACACTGGATCTTGTGTGGGTTTAAAAAAGGGTATATGACCTTTACAAATGCTATTTCCGATCATTTTATTTCAGGTCATGTGTGGATCCTAGTTTTGAGCGATATGTCAAATAATTATGAATACACACTGAAATGCTAATTCAGGAGAATGTTGATAAATTAGTTCAGTACACATTCACCCCGACCAGATTCATATTTTTTAGGCAAAATTTACCTTAATTTTGATTGTCTGACCTTTAAAAACATGAATTTACTCAAAAATAACGACCCATCTCCTGAAACATGGCAAATGGTAAGTTAAAACATATAGCAGTGTACTTTAGTGAAAAAATAAAAGATAGCAAATCTGGATCCAAATTCTAATTTTTCAAGATTTATGCATATTCTTTCCTCTTCATTTGAACGTACCTTTTGCAGTAAAACTGAAGATACTTTCGGAAACCTTTCACTTAATCTTTATCGAATGCTACTGACTTCCTGACGCGGGTGATTCATGTGTCATATTTGACACGAATATGACTTGCAGGATTCAGTTCACTCATCGTGTTGGATTAGGCGAGTTCACGCTACAATCATCTTGTCTCTTTGTGGGGGACTTTCGCAAAAAAGAAATGTGCAAAATCTGTACAGAACAGATAGCACGAGAATTTGATATTTTCCTCGATCACGTACTATTGAAGGCTTCAAAACCAATAATGGCAGGCTTTGTGATATTTATCAGGGGTGTGCTATAGACTTATCTCCACGTGGTGCACCCTGGGCAACGTATACTCATACGGCAAAAGTCTATTAACCGGCAGTTGACTTCTCACTTCAAACTACCATCACCCCCATTGTATGTCATATTCAACCCCTACCAGAGTACTCATCTTACCCTTTCTGTGCTTTTGTGTCTGCCTGTTTCTTTTACAGCTGTGAATCACTCTTCTATTTCCCCTCCCGAATTCTTCTCACTTTGATGTTCCTCCTCCCCTCTATGAAGCCCGAAGTCAACTAAAGGGCTAATGATAACTATCAAAACGCCTGCCATTTGTTATTAACAAATAAATAAATAATGCACGTCAATAAAAAACCTAGTATTGTAGATGCTCAGGTGGAATGTAAACTCTTCACCCAGTTACATCTGATTGAGTAACAAGTCATTACGGGACTAAAGTTCTCCGCATTGACAACATTGTGAGGTAAGATAATGAAAGGATTGTGACTCTGTCTAAAAAAGTCCAGTAGCTACTTCGCGATTTTCAAAGAAAGAGGAATGCCACAACCAGCTCGATACAAGTTAGACTTCTGCTGACTGCATAAATCCCACTGCGTGAATACCAATTCACACAAGGGAATAAACCAAAATATACCCCACTTAAGTTAATAAAAATTGGCATTTTTGACTGAACAGCAGACCTCACTCAACGTGATCTCAAAGATAAGGATATATTCTGGTGAAAATTTAAAAGAGTGAATGCAATGGGTTAACTATAAACAGCTTTGAAAAATTTGAGTAGGATAACATAAGGCAACAATATCTGGAAGAAGCCATAATTTCGTCTAAGTTGCTCATACACCACCAACAGTCATCGTTTCAATTGACAGGCGTTTTGATAGTTATCATTAGCCCTTTAGCTGACTTGGAGGCGTTTTGATAGTTATCATTAGCCATTTAGCTGACTTCGCCGGCGTTTTGATAGTTATCATTAGCCCTTTAGCTGACTTCGAGCTTCACAGAAGGGAGGAACATTAAAGTGAGAAAAAATCGTAGACGGAACATCCAAGTAACAGAAAGTCGAGGGATGGGGAACAGAGGAGAGAAGGAGGAACATCAAAGTGGCAACAAGTCGAGAGGTGGGGGAACAGAATAATGATTCACAGATGTTAAAGAGACAGACAGACACAAAGGCAGAGAAAAGGTAAGGTGAGTACTGTGGAAGTGGTCGAATATGACATACAGTGGGGTGATGGTAGTTTGAAATCAAAAGTCAACTGCCGATTAATAGACTTTTTGCCGTATGAGTATACGTTTCCCAGGGTGCACCACATGGAGGTAAGTCTATCAAACGGAATCACCTTCCTATTTAAAATCACAGGGTAAAGTACTTCTTAAACTTTACGACACCACTAAATTCGGATACATGTTAAACCAGTATCACCCCACTTAGTTAGAATCTGTCCACTATGTTTTTTCTAGAATTTGAACACCTGACAAAAGTAAGTCAAGAACGATAGTGATTTTTTGGGGTAAAAGCAAATTCATAAGCTATAAAAGGGAACAATTTGGAAAATAATATCGCATCAAAAAATGTGGAAATGTTCATATTAACTTTCCACAAGGACGATGGCCAAATTTAACAAGTTTTAAAGAAAAATCGTCATTCTTGAGAAACCAACCATTATTGTTGCTACTTATGGATTGTAAGTAGCCTTGGCAGCATATATATTTTGGTATATCTCTAATGAGCTGTGGGAAGACACTGTGATCTACTGAATGAAGAGACATATATCATCATAAATCTATTGATCTTAAGGGCTACCAGGATGCTAAAACATCTCCAAAGAGAGACGAAAGAGACATGAGGTATACCAGAGAGAAAGAAAAGACTAATTGGGCTCTAATAAGGCCACAGATAATTTGTAAAGAAGGAGAGGTGACTGACGATAATCTCAATGCACTGGGGAATTTTGATAGACAGGCCAACGTGGGCATTGCAATAAAATCTTGTTGAACGATAGCATTCCGAACATCATAAATTTTTCTTCAGTTCTTTATAACAGGAAACAAAAATAACAATTACGTTTTAATGCAAAATCAAAAACCATAAAAAACAGTACTTTGAAAACAAGCGCTTTGAGAGACAGAATCTATTCAAATAACTCGCACAATAGAATTTTAAATACATATAAACTAAGTCTATTATTCAACTTTTCTTGCATTAGACAATTCCTTAGCAGTCTTTTCAGTAATCACCAATTCAATTTTAGGAGAAGAGGGCATCGTTTTCGGATTCACGACCTGCAAGAGAGAGAAGACGAAAAAGAAGTTTATTAGAAGAATATAGACATCTCACCGATCACACTGATTCACTATAACCTCTAAATCGATAATTGAATAAGGCTCTCTGATGCCTGTAAATACTATACCGTCTTATAGTGTAGACAGTACATTTGGCTATTGATTATCAGCTTTTCGCTTAAGTGCGGTTGGACAAAATCGTATCCCCCCTTTATTGGCTAGTTGGTCAAAAAATCCAAATCTGCTACACCCTTATACCGTCATACACCACCAATGATAAGACCTTACCCTCCTCTTTATTTACCAGGAGTCTGGTTAGCGCTGCTCAAGATGAATAGAGGGAAGCAGCTTTGAACCTTATCAAAACAATCACTTGCCTTCAAGTGGACACCACAGTTTGGCTTCAGTTGACCTTTCTCATCAGCAATTGCCAGATGACTCAAGATTTGACGATCAATCTGAAGGTTCAAGAAAGATAAAAGAGAGATAATTGTGCATTTTATCAATTTGTATTAGGGATTTAGTCAACAACATACCTCATAGGCAATAGATCTAGCACCATAGTACAAATCGTAGCCAGCAATAATATGATCGATCACATCTTGATCCCAAGTCAAACTGATGGAGTGCTTAGTGATGGCCATTTCTTTCCAACGATTAAGATAACGCAAAACCAATTCCTTCAACTCAGAAGGGGAAAATGGGAGAAAATAGACTACTTCATTGATACGACCAAGGAATTCATCCCGTATAAAGTATTTCTGTGGGGAAAAAATACATTTCTCATTATGGCACATTTTATATAAATAGGGATGTGAAAGACAAGGTACTTTACTCACTCTGAGCAAGGGTCGCATAACATTGTCAAGAAACTCCCGAGAAAATTGGATACTTGAAGTGGCATCACCGGTCTTAGATCGTATAAGTTCAGCGTTTTCAGCTATGACTTGACTACCGACATTAGAAGTCATTATAAAGATAGCATCTTTACAATTCACTGTCTCCCCTCTTCCACTTGTCATTCGGCCCTAGTCAGAAAAACAGATGAATTGGATCATTCTTTCACACAAACTAAGATTATCAGTTTACTTATGGGATAAATGGGTCATGAAGTTTGAACCCACAAATGTTTACCTAGAGGGGTGTGCGATAGACTTACCTCCACGTGGTGCAGCCTGGGAAGTCTATTATTTGGCTGTTGACTTCAGACTACCATCACCCCACTGTATGCCATATTCTACCATTCCCACAGTATTCATCTTACATTTTCTCTGCCTTTGTGTCAGTCTCTTTAACATCTTTGAATCACTCTTCTGTTCCCCGCCCCTCGACTTTCTGTTTCCCTGATGTTCCTTCCCCCCGTGAAGCCCGAAGTCAGCTTAAGGACTGATGATGACTATCAAAACGCCTGCCATTTGAAATAAATAAATAAATGTTTACCAAGGAGAAGTATCGTTACTAGTTGCTTTATTCTCCAGAAGAATGAGATGGAATGACCAGGAAATAAAATAAGCTGACAAACAAAGCTCTGTATGTCTTATACTAGGTTAAATTGCAAAAAATAAACATGAGGATGTCGCAAATCGAATTTTTCCCTTCCGGAGTTTAAGAGAAGCAGAACATGTAACATCGCTACCTACTTAGAATTTGGCCCTCTCTTCTGTTTTATGATTTATGGAACTGGATTGCCTACCTCTGACTCAATCCAACAAGTTTCTTTGGCAGAGCCTTGAGTAATATTATTACCAAAAGAAAACTAAAGGCCTGAAAATAAGTGGTCAAAGTGAATGAAGACGAACAGATAACAAACTCTCGAATGCTTTCGACTAAGTCAACGGTTCAATCGGCTTGATTGAGCATTACTTGAAACCATGGTAAAGGTAAAAGAACCTAAGGAATGAGATACTGTGGTGTTCCATAATTAAGACCATTACCTGTCGACAGATCCGATAGATTATTCTTGCACCGGGTTTTAGGCTGTTTATTCGAGGTGGGAAAAAAAGGACAAGGTTCCGTGCAAATGCAAAACAAACATTAATACAACACTATTATTTTAAAGCGGAAAATGCAGAATATTACGAATAACAGTACACAGTACATTTAATAGGTCACAGCAAGTGTTGATAGTGTTTACCATGGGTTTCAATAGACAGGCCAACACATCTCTTTTACCATGACCACGCATTGTAGAATGTTCCAGACATTGGGCTACAAACAGTGCGCGCACTCAAACGCCTGATATAGCCAAATTGCCAGCTCCATTGTGCTCCAAAACCCAAGGACTAGACGGTGTATGTGAATACGTCCAATCAAGTAAGATACTAAAAATGGTAGGCATTCTTGTGGTAAGTCTATTTCATCTAGCAATAACGCATAAACAAAGAGGAATGCAAACGATATACTTTGCTACCTTGACTGCAAGAAAGAAAAAAAATCATCATAAATCTGGAGAGGGCCGAAAATAGAACATATTGGCATCTCAATGTCAGTGGGAAACACGAAATGGTACTAAATTGTCAAAAAGACGCAACTATAATTGATCAGACTTTAAAGGAGTAGATGACGGCGACAATACAATAGGTATAAATAGGGAGGTGTTGAGATAACATACATTTGCACGGCTGCTAAATCAAGAAAAACAATACCGATGCTCATCATCAGTGCACCGTCACAGATGTGCATAGCTGTGGTTAACATTGATTACAACGAAGCAAGTAGAACGCGAGTTTTAAAAGGAAAACTTCTTAACATCCAACTCCCCTTAGTAGGCTATGAAAGTGCCGGATTTCGGAGTTGTTAATCATTGCTTATACCACCCAAGAGACCTATTAAAATGAAGATGAGGGTGGCACAAAAGGTCGTTCTTTAAAGTTACGCAACTTTGGGTGATAACTTTCATTTAGAATTAAAATGTATTTAAAATATAAAATATCTGACCCGGAAACTGCAAAAGAATTCAAATTAAATACCTTGAAAAACGTGGATCTGAGAAGTTTAGATAAACAAAGAGTAACCGAGCAGTTAATAAAAAAGCAAGTCACAAAAAATGTTATAAAAGCATCAATTGATAAAAGCGATTGATAATTACCTCGTCAAATAGCTGTAACAGAGCAGTCATGACATCAGGATGAGCTTTTTCAATTTCATCAAAAAGCACCACAGCATTGGGATAGTGCATGAGAGTATTTGTCAGCTGACCCCCATTATCAAAGCCCACATATCCGGGAGGTGCTCCAAATAGTTTGGATACTTCATGTTTCTCTTGGTACTCCGACATGTCCAATCTGATAAAAGCCCGCGGATTGTTCGAGTGCAAGTGAGCAGCCACTTGTTTGGCAACTTCAGTTTTTCCCACACCCGAAGAGCCCATGAAAAGCATAACAAGTGGATGCTCGTCGTCATGCCAATTCTTCTCCTTTCGTCGAATTGTAGCCGTCACGATTTCAATGGCTGATTCTTGGCCCACTATATTATCACGCAATCGTTGTTCAAGGGGAATTCGAAGTATGGTCTGTGATTGTCCTTGACGCTGTCTCCGATCCAGAACATTCTACAAAATGAGATTAAAAGGAAGCAGAAAACTCACAGACCCAAGAAGCCTAGCAATGGAATCAGACTTGCACAAATCGATTGGCAAATGACCATGTATATTTTCCATACTTGGATCAGCACCTAACAGGCTCATAAAATACGCCAAACGCATGACGAACCTGAATCCAGGAGAAGCTTCACTAAAGCTTCGTCATTAACCAGAACTGCGTAGTGTAAAGCTGTACACCCGCGGTAATTGGTATCCGGTTTTAGACAGGCGCTAAATTCCTCGTATCGAATTGATCTATCTGGATTCAATTCACTGGGACTTAAGATAATAAAAATACATACGCAACGAGTGGTCTTCGCTGCTGTTTGTTCTACCATCGTATTCATCAACTGCGTTTACATCAGCACCACATTCGAGCAAAGTTTTAATAATTCTAATGAAGAGGAAAACAAATAAACTACAGAAAAGGAAAAAACCTTCTCCTACGCTGTACGACCGCAGCCATCAAAGGAGTCCAACCACGAGGATGGCGGAAATTAACCGAGTCTGGATTGCTAACAAGAGCTCTAAAACGAATTTGGTGCAAAACATGCAACGTACGCCTTGCAGGCTATCTGATCGTCGTCATTGATTGCGATAAAAATATCACCTAAATATACATAATCAATCAATTCGATTTATACCTTCACAAGTACTACAAGGTTGATTAGACAGATAAACTGTCAATGGAAATAATGGGAAAAGATGCTCCCACATTGGCCTAATTTTTATCCCAGCAATTTTGACTGGGTATAAAATTGTGACTTTTTGAATTAATCTTGCACATTGGAGGTCAAAAACTCCAAGAAAAAACTTCAGATTTGCACTGAATATTCTTTTTAGGGATCTCTTAACGAAGAAAGAGGAAAACGAGGACATGCAGACAAATTGCGAGGTACTGGTGAAGTAAATTACAAGTATGTCATTCGTAAAAAATAACTACGAACTGAAATGAAAAACTTTATGTGAATGTTAATTGAGGGCATTGTGCATTTATTTTAATACATTTGATTTTAATCTAGAAATGGTGGTCTTTCAGAATATTTTAGTAGCAAATCAAAATATAACTTATTGATCGACAAAAAAATGACTGGAAAATCCTATAAACTGAATTAAGTATATTTTATAATATGTATTTTCTTATATGCTGTTTTAATGAAAAAAGGGCAATCGATTTTTGGCCATTTTCATTGTTTTACTAAAATAGTAATGATGCTTTCGTGATAAAGTCCCGCTAAGGACTTTACAAATAAATCATTTAATAAGATGAAAAAATCGCAAAAAATCATTTTCTTGAATTCACCTATGCAGGCTTTGCGATGTTTACCCAAGCACTTACTTTAAAGTCAAGCTTAAAGTCTTGCCAATAGTTATCAAAACACCCATCTGAAGCATTTAAATTCCATAAAATCATTTAATATTTTGTTCAAAACATCCACATCCGATTTAATCCAAATTCAACTAACAGCGTTTATCTTAGTCAATTAGTTATACGTGCATGGAATAGATACCAATTGAAAAAACGAGAGAAACTTTTCTCCAACCAGTATCCAATGAAATAATTTGTGCAGGAACATTAGCAATTAAACGGAAAAATTTGTCCTCCCTAGAAGACAACTTCTATGTTTCTCGGTGAGGTGTGTGCGATAGACTTATCTCCACGTGGTGTACCTGGCCAACGTATACTCATACGGCAAAAAAGTCTATTAACCGGCAGTTGACTTTGGCTTCAAACTACCATCACTCCACTGTATGTTTTCGATAAAAATTATGATTTTGACAAAAAAATTAACATATCCAGAAAATCATAGATATTTCTGAAATTTCAAATATTTGTCAAAATAAGACTCAAATACCAAATTAAATAAAGTGATGTGATTTATTAAAATTAAACTGAATAAATTTGAATTACCTCGTTATCCATGCATGCACCGAATCAAGAAGATTAAGATAATAGATTTTGCTGGTTTTATTTGTAAATCGACGAATTTACTTAAACAAAGCTTTTAAAATTTTAGTTGATACTTAAATTGATTTCGATGGTGACTAAAGAGCTCTAACAGAGTAAAAGTATGCATCTATGCTGGATTTGAATTTTGAAATGAAATGGTAGCGCATTCTATCATATAAAGTAAAAGATTTAAATTTATTAGTTAATCGTAACTGTATTGGAACACATAAAATGGGAAGGAAATGTAATGAAAATTAGATGAAAATGAAATTTTGACGTTTGTTAAAATCGAGTTGATGTAGAAGTTGTGTGTAAGAAGCAGAAAAATTCTGAGATTCAAAAAGCAGTACTGGACAAACAAAAAGGAAAATAGAACAAGAAATTCATTGATTGTAATTTACATAAAAAAACGAACTAAAAGTTTAATAAGAGTGAAATTTACTTTGGACCGTGTTAGAAAATGGGGAAACCGTTCGGGGCAAGCAAATCATGGTTTAAATTATATATTATCTATATATAATGTAATTATCATATAAAAATTCTTTTTCATGATTATAACGTCTAATACAGTTTAAAAGCATAAAATGTAAAGTTTGTTTTAAAAGATAAAAACTTTTAGTATTTAAGGTAAGAACTTGCTGCGCATTTTTGAAACCTCCGACTGTCAAAGATCATGAGTTCTCGTAATCCAAATGATGGTTGGGAACTCATGGAATATATTAATATCAATGGGGAGGGCTCTGGAGAAGAATATCTGAATGATATTAATATTTTCTTTGAAGCCTGTGAATTCCCTAACGACAGACAAGCTGCAATTCTGAACCGTAAAATTGATGGATATTTGAGCTCTAGTAAACAAATTGCCTTCGAAAATACGGCTTATCGTGGACTTGTATTCCTTCTTAAATACAATTACCTACCTCAACGTCATGGAAATTTGACAAAGAATATTGTGAGGTTGCTTTTTTCCTTACCGGTTCAATATCATCTACAAATGGCAAGCATATTCTGCACTTTCCTGGTGTGTCATGTTCGGATTTTGGATAATACTATAGCTATTGTTTTCGATTTCCTTTACCAATGTCATAACAGCAATCCCCAGCAGGTACAAAATATTATCTCGAGTTGTATCAGCTTGTTGCTAGCTAAAACACACTCTCCGAGTGATTTTTTTCAACTTTTTCAATTCTTCCTCAAATGTACCTCCATGGTCTCTGGTTTTCGTGGATCTCTGTGGATCAGTTGTATTTTATTCGAAGCCATTAGCAACGAAATTATTGACAAATCGCTGATAGAGCAACTAATTGTCGAAACAATCTCTTTTATACGCTCTCAAAGTGAATTTGCATATGAACGGCATGTAGTTTTGGCAGTTCTATTCATTCTTGCAGTACGCTTTGACCTGATCAGAACAATTTCGCCAAAAACACTTTTCACGATTTCCGGCTATCTTGGAGAGATTTTGAATCTGAGAGTTGGACTACCAATATTTTTGCAGTTTTTCTATGGTCATTGTCTTTCCGTTCTTATGGAACTTATGAAAGGGGAAATTATGGTCCATCCATTTCTTTTGGCTTTACTGAAGAAACTTCCCGAAATCCGGTATGAGAATGTTTTAACCTCATTACGCTCGATTGCCATTACTTTATCTGGACCATTAAATTCCGCCATGAGTTTTCACTTAATGCCTATATGGTTGGAGATATCGAAGCCAATATTCTCAAACCTTGTGAAAAAAATGGTAATTTGCTTTTTTAATTGTAACAATTTAAATTAACACTATCACTGTAGCTTTAAAATTTTTATTAATTCTAAAATATTTGGGCCATATTCTGATTAACCCCAGCTTAGATTGCGTTTTTAAGTTTCACTATTTTCGGCTACTATTGGAGATTATAATTGACCTTAACATACAAATCGGGCTGTCCTCAGATTGACACATAATTTTATTAAATATTATTTATCTGTTGTTGTTGTTAGAAGATATAAATGCAATTGACTCTACACTACATGCCTGTCCACAAGACAAACCATTCCTTCGTGCAGTCTTTTCGTTGTGACTGAATAAACTCTTCAAATAATGTGGAAATTTGGTGGCACCATACTATCAGGATTAAGTAGATTATTTTTCGATTTGTTGGAGGTAATTTATTTCCTTTCTGAATTCTGTAGGGTACGTCCGAATTGACCAATGTGCCGAAAATCCTTGCACCTTATCGTGGTCTTAGAAACCCATCGACTATATGCTACGGAAACTCTACTATACAAATGCTGTCGAAAATTCCACTTTTCCGCCAACACTTCGATAGGCATTGTAAAAGTGGAGAAACGTGTGGAGATTTGCATAAGGAACTTAAAGAAGTATTTGATTCCCTTGACACTCCATTGGTAAGTCATTTACTTCTCAGTGAACTTGTGGTCGACCCTCATGTCTTCCAAGTCGTCCGATTGCATAGTCGATAACTCAATGATCGGTCAATATGGGGAATTCAGATGGCCAGTTTGCCATCTGATGGGCTTCAGAGTGCCACCTCTCCACTCAAGATAAGTGCCGATCATGTTTACAACTTTCGAGTATTCCTTCGTTCGTTTGTGTTTTGGTCATGGTGGTTGCTCATTGGATCTAACATCTGATTTCTCAAAAGTGCTTTGTGAATTTCTAGATTGGTTGGTTGAAAGTCGTTGATTGTTTATTTATCCAAAGAGAGTAGTATTTTGATAAAGAATTGATTTGCATTCATTTTCTTAAGGACTAAAAAATAGGAATTCGAGAGTGCCTTGTGTTGCCTCCGTTTTGTATTAAATCAGCTCGTCTTAAATATCTATGAATTCTGGGGTATATTTGTAGGACGAGAAAGAGGTGGACGCCTCCAACTTCATTTGTATATCGCGACCAAATCACTTTGAGGACGATGCCCAAGAGGATGCGCAAGAGTACCTTAGCCATCTACTTGATCAATTGCAAGTGGAGTCCACTTCCAAGACTTCTCCTGCATCTCCTTCGTACATCGCAGATACTTTCATTGGGTGCCAAAGTCGTGTCTCCAATTGTGCCACTTGCCGTTGGGAAATTGACAAACGAGAAGAAACCTTCACAACTCTAATGCTCCCTCTCGAGGTAAGCACTACACCTCTAAATGGTGGTATTGTATCCTTTCTTTCAACTTGTGAATAGTACTACTCTTATGTTACTAACCTACAGCAGAATGATAACGAGAACAAACCAAGTATCCAGAGCATGGTTGATTCGCTCAGTAGAGAATTGATTGAAGACACGCCGAAATGCGAGAAGTGTGGAGGCGATGATAACGGCGTCTATTCAAGAAATGTGGATGTCACATTTCGGAAGGCGCCTCCGTGTCTTCTACTAAATGTGAAGATCTTCTATTTTGATATGGTGACTGGCAGCACGGTGAAGAAAATGAGCAAATTCGACATAAACGATACCGTCACACTGAAACTTGAAGGTGAGTATTGCGTGTGTTAAGCTGTTTGTTATTTCCTATCTCCTCGTTTCCATTCTTTTTGTTTATTTTTAGATGGAACTGTGCAACGCTATCAAATTTTTGGCTTTGTGTTGCATGGTGGTGACCATGCATCCTCCGGGCACTACGTTTGGGCTTGCGAAATGGCTGATCGGTGGGCCGTATTCAACGACGAGGAAGTCGAATTCGTTGATTTGGAGAATATTCTATCCCCTTCAAACTTAAGTCCGTATATTCTAGTTTATACTTTGCAAAAGAACTAAGTCGTCTCCCAGATGGAAGTCGAAGATGTCAATTTTAAGCAAGGCTTCAGGAGACTTTCGATTTATGTGTCGTAATTTTGTAATATTTCTTAGTGTATAGATCAACCTCTACTATTATTTATAAACTCTTTATTAGAACATGGAAGTGAAAGAAAAATCATAATT